CCATTCCAGCGTCGAAATGGCGAACTTTTGGAAAAAAATTTCGTTTTTCCTCAATAACTTCTAAACCGTTGAACTTACGGGAAAATTGCATAGGATCTTTCTTGTAGAGGACGGCGAGATCTACAATTTCTGTATAAAAGTTTTTTGCCAGCATTAATACTTTACGAGTTATTGACGAAAAACAAAAAAACAGTTTTTTGCAAATTACTCGTTAACTATTGACGCTAGCGAAAAAAATTTACATGGAAATTGTAGATCTCGTCCTTCTCTACAAGAAAGGTCCTATGCAATTTTTCCGTATGTCCAACGGTTTGGGAGTTATTGGCCAAAAACGAAAATTTCGCAAAATCTGAAGGGGTACCCCTTGGAAAAATCTCGGAAAAATAAAAAAATTTTCTTGTTGTTTATTATTAGCAATGTTCTTCTGACGTCTGTTTTCCTTTTAAAAAATGCGTTTCTAAAGTGCATAAACCTTTGGGATTGACTGTACAGCCAATACATCCTTAAAACTACAGTTTATTGTAGTTTTGTAATTTATCCGTCATAGATCTCAAAACGGCGAAGAGAAATATTATAAAACTGACTTCTTACCTGTTGCGCATTATGTGATACAGCATGTGTAGGATGAACATGTGGAAACTGCCATGTACTGGTAGTTTGGAATGGAAGAGGCCTAGAACTAACGATAGCTGGATCAATCGAAGTCCAGTCCGCGATAGGTCCAAAATTATTCCATCCGCCTTTCTGATGTAGCGCTTGATGATGAAATTGTTGTTGTTGTTGTTGATTATTAATATCACACCAATCTTTGAACGCATACACTGCATCGCCCGCGCACTTACTAATACCTTCAAACACCAATTCGAAATCAGCTATTATTTGCAGCGATCACGTACCATAAAATATTATATCGTTATTAAAAATTACCTTGTGAATTCAGAAGGGGGTTTCCATTCGGAAGATAAGCATTTTGTTGAGGTGGTTGGGCTCCTGTAAACAGCACACTAGACGAATGACTCATGTATAATATTTGAATAAATTTTTTGCAAAGTCACAAGAATTCAGTTTTATACTTGGATAACACTATTGCTCGCCACAAGTACACAATTATTCACACTAACTGGTTACATCCAATTCATACAAAAAAATAAAAAGATACATCTCCAAAATATTGGTAAATCGTTCACGAACAAACAGAGTGAACATAAAATAGATTTACGATCACCACATGACGATAATAATTATGAAGGAAATTACGAGAATACTAACCCGAAAGAGCATTGTTCGTGGGAGCTGGTCGCGGTATACCAAGGCCAAAAGAATTCATGTGATTTGGTGTAGAACCAGGGAAACCTGGTGGTGGAAGGCGACTACGTTGTCCCAAACTAGCAGCAGCCACGGTGTTTTGAGCAGGACTTTGCGTACCACTTTGTAATAAATTTTGCGGAAGACGAGACAGCAGGGAATGCGACTGTTGAAGAACTTGCAAATTCTGCAGATGTTGAGCTTGCTGTTGTAAATGTGTTATGTGGGCAACCTGAGTAAGAAACATAAACAATAATGCGATATAAGAATAATATACCATAATACTTAAAGGGTAATTCGTGAATCATTAAATATTAGACAATTTTTTAATTACCTGTGGAAAATGTTGTTGGCCAAGGTTGACCATACTCTGTTGATGTTGCACTCTAGTCTGTTCTTCTCGTTCTTTTTGTTGTTGTTGTTGTTGCTGTTGCTGATACAACCTTTGCTGCTGAATCTGCATCTCATTTTCCATGAGTTCGGCCAAAGCTTTTTGTGTTTCGTGAAATGGGTCAAAACCTAGATCGTCGTCGGCTTTTAAATCTGAACTGCATTCTTTGTGGTTCCGTACCTCCTCTAGAGTAGCGTGACCATTCTGTTTGATATATTCACAATTTTCTTGATTTTGCTGTGCCTTAAGAAATTATAATGGTTACTAACAATGCTAGAGAATAAGACGACAATTTAAAACAAAAAGATTTATCTGAATAATATTATTTATATCTTATCACTATTTCAATGAGAAGAAATACGTATTTGATTATCTTCTACGATCTCAAATGTATCAACAAAAAAAGAGACATAACGATGTTATTGATAAACGAATAACTTTTACCTGCATAGCAAGCCTTTGCTGCAATGAGTTTTGTTGAAAGTCTGCCATAAATTTAGATGCAGGAGAATTAACAAGCAGGCTTGATGTAAAACTTCCAGAAGGTTCTGATAATGTAGTGTATTGTAGATTAGTGTAAACTTCTTCATCTACAAAACCATCGGAATTGTATGTTACTCCTGGCGAACTAGAAGGACTGGATTTTTGTACATGATTTGCTCGTGACGTTTCGGTTTGAAAACCAAAAGCCGCTTGCCAATCTTCGCTGGATTGAACCATTGGCAATGAGTCGGGGATAGAAGCTAAGCCTGTACTCGCCCAATTCAAGTTTGGATTTGCTGCATATCCAAAAAAATTAATTGTAACATACTCTTCAAATTTGATTCCTCAGCAAAAGAGAACATTCCGAATATAAACGAGAACGAAATAAATCTCTGCAGTAATTTCGACCTTGTTATCAAGGATAATTGCTATCTCGAAAGTTAATAAATGAAATGAACGACGCTAGAAAGATTATGTGTACATGCCTGTCAAAGAAGTAGGTGGCACGGAGGTGGTAGTGGTAGAGATTTTCTGGAAATTATTTGAACTGAAGAAACTATTATTGTCCGTCTGAAAGATCGATCGATGATTGAGTTGCACTTGAGACCCATTATGTAATCCAGGTGGTGGCTGTTGATTGAGGCCTTGTGATGAATTTGTGCTAGCCGGAGAGGAACCTAAAGATGATATGGACAAATCTCTACACTACGAGACGCGATCAAATTGTTTTGGTAATGTGTGCAATGCCAGAATAAACAGCTTCTAACAGCAGTATTCCCCTCTGCCACCAGTAATGAATCTCAAGAATGTATAAATAGTCATGTCTGGAAAATTTGCTTATCGCATAAATTGGCAGGCATTGAATGAAAAATTGTAAAATCAAATAATCCACTTTGTACGTAATGAGATGGAGTCTGCAGAAATTACAATAAAAGAAGCAATTTTCCAGATATTCCCTATGAATATGTGCCCAAATAAATACTCTGTAGAAGGATAAAGTCAAGCGTGTGTAAGAACACAAAAAACATTTGCTATTTTTTCAAAGAACTCTCTTTATTTTGGCATATATCTATAACTATATAAGTACTATTCTACAGTTATGAGACATAGCCACAAAACATGTATGTTCTCAGTTTAGTATACTTATTACTTAACATTACTTTTGAAGTTATCTTTCATGTGTACATACACAATGTTATGAAAGATAGGCACACACTTAAAATGACTTCTGAATTATTACAAACATTCTATATGATAAACTCCAATACTATTTTTTATTATTTTAACTACTGTAAATAGCCTCTGTTTTTATTCTGTTTCCCTTATTTACATATCTTTTAATCAATGTTATATATGTACTGAGTTTAGTCTTTTTTAAGTTCATTTTAAAAGCAGAAAATCAATACATATAGAAATAATCACTATGATAAGGAACTCACCTAAAATAGCAGCACCACTGTTCTCCTCACTCGATTCTGTTAAATGTTCCGCTTGATGATTCACATTCGAATCTTCCGTACTGGAAATTGTGCTAGCAGGTGTACTACCTTCACGCTGCTGATCTGTCTCACTGTCTGAATGCCGACGATCTCCGTTTTGTATAACTCCATTTACTTTCAGTTCTTGAGACTGCTGCTGCTGCTGGTGATGAATCAATTTCGATCCTTTACTGTTTTGCTGCTGCTGCTGTTGCTGCTGCTGAGATTGTTGTTGAGGCGGTGGCTGCTGCGATTGTTGTTGCTGTTGTTCCGATTTGCACTTACTACCCAATTTTTGCAATACTTCACTATTCGAGTCGGAGGTAAAATTTCTAATATCCTTCTGTCCATTAATTTGTGGCTGTACATTATTTTGCGTACCGATGGAACTAGATTCTGAACGGGAAGTAGTCCGCGTACTATGTTTCTCTTTGTTTTGACAATTTTTGTGTTTATTCCGCGCAGTCTGAGCTTTACTTTCACTATTACTTTTTCCTCTCCGTATATTCATATTTTCACCTTTGTTATTGTTATTCTGCTGCTGCGTAGAACCACTAGATGACACGTGATTCTGCTGGTTTATCGTACCACTTCCATTTGTTATGTGACTCTGTTGCGATGCTTGCGATGGCGGTGATAATTCTTTACAAGTAGTTTGTGAACCTGCAGATATAGAAATCAGTTCATTAACGATCCACACTCCCGCACATATTTTTCAGGTGCGTCACTTTCGGTAAGGAAACTTACTATTTGTTTGTCCGGTTTGTAACGATGGCCAAGCTTCTTTGGCTTGAGAATTCGAAGTTCCATTCTCTCTAACAATACTGCCTGTTACTGCTGGTGATGGTGTTGGTTTTCTGTATAGTACGAATAATAACACTTGTAAGTCTCTTACTTTAAATGTAACTTAGCGATCATTTAAATAAGTTACCGTTGTGCAGATGCGTGCGACGCATGTAACGATTGCACAAGTTTGCGCTCATAATCCTGATGTTTCCCTTGGTGCATCTCTTCCTTTGTAAATGATGCCTCCTGGTCCCCAAGATCATGTAAATACATACAATCCGGTTTCGGACAAGGCTGATTACGCATAAAATGTGAACAATACTTTGTTGTCCCTAGCGACGTTTTAATTGTCCGCCCGTCCATAACAACATTATTCACAGCCTCTATAGCACGTAGTGCATCCTCTTGACGCTAATATTACACGAATTGAAAAGTATATAAAACAGAAAATAAGAAACGAAACATTTGGGGCGCGTGATGATTTTATTTAATAAAAAAAAGGTAACTTACTTGATAAGTAACGTAAGCTGAAGCACTAGGCCCTTGAGACCCTGCATAGGAAGTGCTCTGATTTATTACAACTTTGTGAATTTTGCCAAATTTTCCAAAATATTCGTGCCGCTTTAACATCTGAAAATTTATTAATAAAATACTATGCGTGTTTCTATTTCATTCATGTTTGTCTCTACTTACATCAGCATCCGCAAGTCTCAATGGTAATCCTACTACGAATACTAGATTTTTTTGTACTACTCTCACATTTGCTAGATGTTTACGATTTTCTGTGACCCTCTGCTTACGTTGCTGATCTTTTAATCTTTTCTCTGCTTTTAATCTAATAGAAGTGCACGTGTATAAATATTAATTCACGCAATGCGAAGTAAAACGAATCCTAGAACAGTGCATACCTCGCAATTTCTTCCATACTAAGAGGTTTAAAATCGGCAGGATTTTCAGAATAGGCCTTCCGACAGGCAGGGCATAAACCATTTTCATCTGTCCGAATTCTGTGCCAGCAAAACCGGCATATTTGATAGCCACAAGTGCACGGAAAGAAATTCAAATCGTCTACTTCCAATGGTTCCATGCACAAAGGGCATTCCACTGCATCTTCTCCACTTTGATTCAATACTGACATTTTTGTTTTTAACTCTTTATATCACACAATACAGTAAATTACCAAGATTTTTCTTGTCGAAGCCCTGTACAAAAATTAAAAAAGACTCACACAAAATTTACAACTCTTCGATGATGGTACAGCACTACGAAAATATGTCGCAGTCAATTATAGAAAGGTTTCAGTTTCAATTATCAATTAATCAATCAAAAGTGTAACACAGGAAATATATAAACGTTCTCAATAAAAAGAGCAACACTATTAACGTTTGTTGTTAATGATAACAAAATTACTGTGTACATACTTGCAAAGCCTGCACAATGCCTTGGTGCTATGTAATTGACTGTACTTGTAACTTCTTACACACTAATGTTCTTGCACAAATCTGAAACAAATAATGGGACATTGAAATGCTGCTGCACAGTAAGAATGTTATGAGTCAGACGTGTCATCGAGTACTAGCAGCCGTTTTCGTGTTAATTCCACGTCGATCCGTGAGAAAGACTTCGTGATAAAGCTTTAAATAAATATTCCACCGTCGAACCGTCCAGGACCAATTTTTTTTTTACGAATAAATGCGTACGAAAAAAGAAAATGGAACGAAATATTTTTTCTAGCAGGAGATAGTATAAGTGAACGGTGATGACTGTTTGGCTGACAGATTTGACGAACAGTTGGGAAAGGAAGGTCCGTTTGACAGGAGCTGTCAGATGAGCGATAACCGAACAAAGGACGCTTTCGATTTCAGATCAATTAGGAATGATAACGCGTACGTCCTACGGTGAACATAAAAATGACAAGTTCGTACGTGACGGTTGAGATTGAGGACGAAAAACTTGCGGTAGGGCCACCGTCTTGTACTCTCCCACTCACTTTCTCTCTTTCTCACTCTTACGGCGAGACACGAACTATACGAGAGGGCGACGATCGCACTAAACAGCTGTTGGTGGCGTCCAGAGAAGCGAAGAAACGTCATAGAGCGAGTGAGAGAGGTACTACTAACGCCATAGCAGGAAACCTACACGAAAATCCGTGAAAACCCCGCGTGGTGGGGTATAACGCGTACATTCCACGGAACTTCGAATAAAACTATCTGTATATGCAAGGACGATGGTCTCGACGCGTTTCGCTCAACGATTTTGAAGGGGGGAAAAGGCTAGTAGCGAGCGAGTGAATAAGAAATGGAAATAACGAAAGGAGTGGCGAAGGGAAAGAGGAGAGAGGGAGAGAGAGATGGAGAGGGAGGCAGATTGAGCGAGAGTGATAGATAGAGAAATAGATACACAAAAAGAAAGACGGGTAGAATAACGATGCCATCATTCGTTCCGTTCTCTTTTAGCCAATGATCATCGTCTCGATCTTGAGCAAGGAAAATCTCTCACCGATGTTTCTGTCTCTCATACCTACTTTTCGAAAAAACGTAATCGTAACCAGAACGCAAACAAGTATAGCTCTCCCCCTCCCAATTAACGCACAAGTTCTCTTAAACAGTCAATTTATATGATAAATAAAACTATGTTTAGCGCGATTAACATGATGTGATTCGCGGTGAACGTCACAAAGGACTGAATGATTTGTCGTCGGAGGGGTTGCTAAATACCCTGGATTGGTTACAGGGTATACCTAACTCGTTTAACCTTAACTTCGTACGATACGGTAATGGCTCGATAGTCCGTGGAGCTCGGAAACTGTGTGTCACTGTTCTTCTTGGGTCTAAAGTCACGTTCACGTATTCGTCGATCTGAATTTCTTAACTCTTGTTTACTTACGTTACAACTATTCCACTAACAAATCTCTTTTCTGTACTGGGAAATTTTTGTACAGTCTTCTAGATCTGGTCGCATGCGCACCGCGACTGCGCAAAAGCGGACGTTACATATACAATGGTATTTAAAGGAAGATGCATAGGTAAAAAAATTCTGAAAGCGCATGTCAACCAAAATTTCGATTACATTATTACACGCGACCAGACTTATACCCTCGGTTTTTTTTTCATTCAACTTGATAAATCCATGATTGTAAACAATACCGAACGGATATTTGACGAATATTTTTACAGTACTCGAAATATTTAGCGCATTTTTACAATTACAGTTTTATCAGTTTCATCAGTTTCATATTTCCTACGCACTCGGAAATAATAAATGACCGATTTAACAGTGGTACTACCAGCATGCAAGTAATGTTCCTGGATCACATACGTTTAAAATTATTCAAATCAATTAAATGCCTGATTTAAAAAAGAATACTTTATATTGTTGGCATAGGATGTAATAATTCCATCAGACAAGTTTTTTATTTTACAAGATTATACACATAATTTTACACTCACTATTGCGTTCAATAAGATAAAATGATACCTTATTTACGTTCAAATCAATCCAGTTTTAATCAAGTGCAAAAATGGAAATATTTGTGAAATTTTCATGATTCATGTGCATACAATTTCTCATTGCTATACACAATTTTGGAATATAGTGCATGTCTCATGTTTTTCTCAATTAGCCATGTTATTGCACTTTTCTAGTTTTACCTTCATAACTTACACCAAATAATGGATGTCGAGTTCTCAAATTTTTTGGGAATGGCACACTGTAGTTTTCTATTTGCATTGATTTTGTCTTTGAAACACTTGATAGTTTCTTTCTCACACCTATCGTCCCTACTGGCTTTACGTTAACTATGCAAAAGAGATGTAAAACATTAGAAGAAATCATTGAGAATACTTCTACCTGAATAAAAAATACATTACCAGCTTTATATCTTGACTTCACACTGTTAGTATTAAATATACAAGTGACATTGGATTTCACTTCATGATTCACTGCACAATATTTTTCATCCTTAACTTTAAATTTTGATTTCTCTCCAAATGTTAATGTTTGACCCTTAAGTTCTATTGGATCTATCTGTAAGTTACGTAATAATTAAAATGTCATTTTATGTATGTCTCATATACTCAGACACAGTTGACTCACTGTTCTAGGAATGTCCATGATCCATACGTCTTCATTATCAGATAGATCTTCCAATGTAAATGTCGAATCTGTACTTTCTATAATTAAATTTTCTCCTTCAACCAATTCATTGATCTGAAATAAAATTATCAATAACAATGGATGAAACTGAATGATAAAAGATATGGATCTGTTCTTAAGTACATTTTGTGGTCTAGTAGTAGATAAAATGTTGATCGAGGTTGTATTATTATTATCTGTTTCATTTAGTGTCTTCATGTTATTTTCTACATTTTGCTGTATCTCTGTTGTATTTCTTTTCCCATCCTTTTTCAAAATGCTCTTTCTAGACACAGGAGTACTATTAAAGGGACTGGGTGGTTGAATTTTTGTATTAATCTTGATGGCTCGTTTACTTTTTGGTAACAATATTTCAGTCTCAGTAGTATCCATTAAAACCATAGATTTATTTAACTGAGTGTTTAAATTAGTTAAAGAATCTTCTATATCTATATCATTTATATTTGAACAATCCATTTTTTTATTATTATTTCATAAAATAAAAGTCCTCGTGTGACAGTTTCAAATTCTTCCAACAAAGTGTACTAACATATTAAAATATTCGCGCACAAGATAAAATTTGCATAATGTTCATGTGTATTTCACTATATTAACTTAAAGGACAATTATACAATAAACTGAGATATAATTACAATTAAATTGTCATATATAAATGTGCATAAACTCATGCACAAACTTATCTTAGCTACTACTATAACTATACAATACAACTGTTACTGTTCAGTGTTCGCATATATATATAATACATAATCGTACAGTGGTACAATCCATGTGAAAAATATAAATCGTTTGATTCATATAGAAAGTAGAACCGTGCTTGAATAATTATGTGATAAACATTAGAAATACATTTGTTATCGTAATTACATTCTTAATTATATATATTTCGATACTCAGTTAAAGTATCATTTTTCGTAGGATGGCGTAACCGATGCAATGCTTTGAATAAAGTAAACGTGGTTAGTCTAGATATCATAGGATTGTTGGTCAAATTTGACTGAAAGCGCCTAAAAGCACTTGGCGCTTATTTTGCCCTATTTATTGTTAGTGTGCACATTTTAGTCCAGTTGAAGTTGAAATAATTACAGAGCGTACGATATGTCTACAGAAAACTTACGACGATCGTCCCGAATACAAGCTCGCGTAAAAGGTAGTATATAAATGTAATTTATAAAGTTGTATCACATTAAATTACTGTTTTCTTTACAGAAAATAAACGATACAAAAAATACTCATCATCCTCTTCAGACGATGATCCTGGAGTAGTAAATTTAACGAGAGAGGAACTTGAGGATATAGAAGAAAATATTCGAAAACCAGTTGGTAATTCTTCTGCACTTTGTTTGTTTCTTTATTGGTGCTTTTGATCTTTTGGGAAATATTGACATATATATATGCTTAATTTAGAATTATTTGCAAATGATGATATAAGTGGACAAGCATTGTTCAAATTCCAAACATCCAGTAAAAGAACTGCTATGACACAGAAGGCAGAACAGTGTCGTACTCCTGGTAATGTAACAAAAGGACAGTTATCTGTAGCTAAAGTTGTTCTTGAAAAAATTTATGTACATGGCAAAGATTCATCAAAGACACCTAAGAAAGGTCAAGGGATTGCAAAAGGTACAGTACTTTCAACTCTATGACATATAATTTATACATGAGTAATAACCAGAAATCATATTTACATGTTCAGTTCCTGTTGGAAGAAAACATGAATCTGGATTAACTTCTAGCGAGAGTGAAAGTGTATCAGAACCTAGTGATTTTGTACCATCCGATGAAACTGAATACGAAACAAGTGGTTCTGAGAGTGCTGTGTCCAGTAATGACGAAGCACGTGAAAATATAAAAAGGATTTCCAGACAAAAATTGATACTACAATCTAACTTAATAAATACACCGAAGAGAATAAATAGAACAAATAAACCTGCAATTATTCATAAAGATTTTGTAAGTAGAAACTGGAAGACAAAGATGAATATAATTTAATCTAATCAATTATGTTCTATGATTAAAGCATATGTGCACTGATGAATACTTCGCAACGCAATCAGAAAAAGTAGTTACGTCCGATAGGACGCTCGAACACTTACGTAATTCACGTTTAACAAAAGAAAAATTGGAACAGTTATTAACAAATCAAAACTATGTTTCTGTACAACATAAAAGGAATATTTACTCATTAACTAAGAGCTATGCGATGTTATTTCCCATGTGGTACTTTATTATGGAGTAAGTATTACTAACAAAGAGACTGTCAAAACTTTTAAATATTTAATAAGTACTCTTTATCATGTTATAGGCAAGGGTATACTGTGTTACTGTATGGTTTAGGATCAAAGAGATGTTTAATTAATGATTTTCATAAGAGTATTTCTTATCATCCATCACTAGTCATTAACGGATTCTTTCCTAGTTTAACTATAAAAGATGTAAGTTATATAAAATTAAAGTATATATACATGCATGGTAATTATATACAAATGTGTGTCGTATTTCAGATACTTGATGGAATAGTTAGTGATTTGTTGGAGCTGAGCTGTCCCAGCAATACAAGTGAATGCATCGATCTCATTGAAAAAGTTTTAAAGAAAAATCCAAAAGACAGACTATATTTATTAATACATAACATAGATGGCATAATGTTACGTACAAATAAAGCACAAGATTTATTATCTTCACTTGCAAGCATACCAAACTTGTGTATTTTAGCATCAGTTGATCATATCAATAGTCCACTGTGTATGGTCAAGTTGCTCTTATATTTCATTAATATGTGATTATTTGACCTTTTAATAATCTTCATATATCTACGCATTCGTAGTATGGGATCATACGAAACGTTCGAAGTTTAATTTTTTCTGGTGGGACACAACGACGTATCTACCTTATCAAGAAGAAACATCTCACGAAGGTTCACTTTTGGTACAACAAAGTGGTGCTCTTGCTTTATCATCACTTCACAATGTTTTCCTTTCTTTAACTACAAATGCGAAATCAATCTACATACTGCTTGCCAAATATCAATTGAGCAATTACAACGCGAATTACACTGGTAATCAGATGGATTTAATCGTATATAAAATTATATAATTCAATTAATACTCATTCATGAAATTTATTTTCTTTAATAGGTATGGCATTTAAAGATCTTTATCGTGCTGCGCGTGAAGGATTTCATGTAAGTTCTGATTTAGCTCTGAGAGCACAACTGACTGAGTTTAAAGATCACAAACTGGTGAAAATAAAACGCAATATCGATGGTGTTGAACATCTTATCATTCCATTAAGTAATGGACTTCTAAAACAATTTTTAGAAGAGCATGACACATGAAAATACGGTAAGCTATGTTTATCTATATTTTTTATACACGCTTCGTGAAACATGTATTTTTTAAAAAGAACATGTAATTAATAAAATTTTTGGTATAGCATTTGCAGAATCGCCGAACGAATGCAAATCATTGGTCACGGATCGGGTGTACGATGGGTGTTTGATGGAATCATTACACGAAATAAAGGTAGAAATTAAGAAGTGATATGATTGTAATACCATAAATCCTGGCAATGAGAGTCACGGATGTTGGGATTTCGGGATAGCTTTTCGTCGCCGATGCGTGCCACGACCGATAGCCCAACA